AATACAATACATTTTATGAATACATTACATCAACTGCGTGCTACGTAGGTCGACACCAGTTCTTCTCGGTCAAGATTATGAACACAGGAAGACCAAGAAGAGAAAAATGTCCGTTTCCGATTGAGTAGCCTGCGAAGGAGTCTAGGTCATTTGYAGCCACGCCATTTTATACAATTAAGATGGGAGATCGTCTTTATTTACCGTCATACTTTGCGTAGATTAGTGTTTTGCWGCTCGATTGTGACAATCTGAATGCCAATCAAAACAAACRTCTTTCGGCGATTTCCACTTTCCCGACTRAGCTTTTTTCTAAGCTTGTTTTCTCCAATCACGGTAACTGCTCTTCCAGTGGTTGTTCCGATTTTTTCACGATAACACAGCGGAAATGCCTCRTGCTATGCAGTCGACTTTGTCATTGCAGGTTCTTAATTAATTAAMAAATAAATAAGGCTCAGCCGTGGTTTATACTCTGATAAACGCACGCTTGGCATTTGAAACACACTCGAAAATGTCAAGAAGCACGACCTGAAATATAGATTTTGAGCAAAAATCTTTTTTTAGCACCTGGTGGTTTATACTCATAAACCACACTTTTTTGGCCAATCAGAGCGCGCGTTCCTATATGATGAAGCTGAGTAGCTTATTCATCTGATGAATAGGATCACGTTACCTTGTATGCAAATTTATAGCCCATCTTTGTCTACATGAACTTAGAATTGTCTGAAGCGGTCTGAAGTCTGAATTCGAAACACCGCATTTRCACACGAAASCGAAACTCGCATGACATGCTATGAGTACATCATGCAGGCGTGGCACTTTGRACTTTGTGCTAAAGAGCTGATCGAAGCCAACAACATTTGAAACCGAAAACTCTGATCACAGGGGCGACCAGCCGGTAATTGACGAGTGCTTTCTCAACATACATGTATGCCATTSAAATCGTACCTGAGTTTTCTGTCATGTCATGCCGTTTATACAKTCTGTTCGTCTACAAGCGATTTTCCGATGGTTTGTTGCCCTTGTAGCTATAATTCTCATCATTGGAGTATTCAAAAATGTAATACCACGGGATTTCTACCATCCTTTGCTGACCTATATACACTGTAAAGTAAACGGAACTGTTGATGACAACCAAGACTCCAAGAGAATTTTACTCTATACAACATGGTTTGGTAGAGTTCCATGGTCTGACGAGCAGCAGTTACTGCAATGTCCTCACAAATGCTTGATAACTTACAACAAGTGCGAGTTGCCGTATAGCGATGCAGTCGTTTTTCATGCAAACAGCCTTAAGTTAGGACGTCTTGGATTAAAACGAGTAGGAGAGTACTTGAGGCGAAGTCCACACCAGAGATGGGTTTATTATACGCACKAAAGTCCACAAAATATCGACCATGATCCCGCTCAATTTAACGGGTTTTTCAACTGGACGATTACGTACAAATCGGACTCGGATATAGTTTACCCTTACGGCCATTACAGCGCTATAGAATCTAAGGAAAAAACTACTTATAAAACCAACTATGCCAAGGGAAAGGACAAACTTATCGCTTGGGCAGTGAGCCACTGTGGAACTGTTAGAGATATAGTTGTAGAAAAACTCTTGAAGTTTCTTCCGGTTACAGT